TTTTTGATCTATTTATATATTGTGGGGCATCTGGGTTATTTCCATATCTTGGCTATTGTAAATAGTGTGGCAATGAACATGGATTTGCAGGTGTCCTTATCATATACTGGCTCATGCTGCTTAGGATAGAGGCTGGAGTAGGGAAGAGGCTGGATGGTAGGGAATGTCTATGTTTAGTTTTTTTGAGGAACCTCCAGACTGCTTTCCAGAGTGGTTGTATTCATTTACATTCTCACCAGCAGTGTTGTAAGGTTCCCTTTTCCCCACATCCCTACCAGCATTTGTTGTTAGAATTCAAAATGTTGGCCAATATAACTGGGGTAAGATGGCATCTTGGGGTTGTTCTGATTTGCATTTCCTTTATGGTCAGGGATGATGAGCATTTCGTCATGTTTCTTTGCCATTCGTAACACTTCTGAGAAGTCTTCTTAGATCCCTTGCTCTGGACTATGATTTTTTTTTTGCCAATCGTGGGGCTTAAACTCAGGGCCTGAGCACTATCCCCGAGCTTCTTTTGCCCAAGGCTAGCACCCATTTGAGCCACAGTGCCACTTCAGACTTTTTCTGTTTATGTGGAAGTGAGGGATCATTCACATATGCTGGGCAAGTATTCTACCACTAAGCCACATTCCCAGCCCTGGACTATGATTTTAAAGGAATTTTTAAGTTCTACAAAACTTGGCCCAGTGAGGCTACATCCTCATGTTTTTTAGCCTTTTTGTTTTCCAAAGAACTGTCTGAATTTTATTTTCTGTAAAGCTAAAATGAGGAGTCATTAACAAAGGCAAAACTCCAAAATAAGGCCTAAGCAATTTACCCAGCAATGAAGATTCCCAGGTCCCAGCTCGTGCCTGCCCATCCTGTAGAGGACAAATCGTCACCACACATCCAGAGCTCGTCTCCTCTCCACACTTAGAAAACCAGCGTCCCTTTTCCAGTCCCTCTTTTCAGAGGCAGAATTCAGGTCTAATTCCCAGTCTCTGATTCTCAACTGCATGTCTAGAAATGGAAACAAATACAAAAACTAGCGTCTTAGATAATATAAAACAGCATCTCCCCAACTGGATGACCACCTTGTCATAAACAGTCTGTCTCCATCCTCTTTCTCGCAGCTGAGACTGAAAGGCCACCAAACGAACAACAAAAGCAGGAGCTCTCACAGGGGTGACCACTCGGACACAGGCAGACCTATTCGCTCACCCTGCAGATAGATGATGACTACACATGTACCTGTAGCCTGGAACAACACTCTAGAACTTCAGTAAAATCATGGGCCTACTCCACACAAAAAACACAAGATAAATGTAGTCAAAAACAGAGCACAACCAGGGCACTGAAGAAAAGCCGCTGCAAATCACAACAGAAAGCGAAGTACTTACCAAGGACACCAGCCTTTCTGTTAATGTTGCAGATGGGAGGGAAGAGATGGCAAAGTACTGTTAAGTCTGAGCCCTAACTTGTGAACTTCTCAGGGAGGAGCCTGAGCTCTCAGTCTGCTAACAAATTGCAGCTGGTCAGCAAAGCCAGATGGAAATGGTGCGTAACGCAAGGAGCTTTCACCTGATCAAGGTCTGAATGCTGGGAAGCTTCCTCCTCACAGTACAAGGTACTCACTGAGTCTGGAAGAGTATTGCTTTTATCATAGCATCTAGTAAGCCATTTCTTGTCTGTTTGCTTGTTTCCAGATTTGATGGCTACTCTGAAGTTCAGATTCTACATGCCTGTATCAGTGAGAGCTAGGAAGAGGGAAGAAGTTAATTCTCAGCATATAAACAGACTCTCTGAAGAGTAGCTGCTGCTTTCTGGTGTGTTAAACACAGAAGTAGCGATTATGAGCTCCAATGAGGATCTGGCAGGAACAAAGAGGTAGGTACATGGCTCAGGTCTCAGTTCCAGTATCATTTCTTCCAAGAAGTCTTTGACAGACCTTCCCTAACTCAATTCCTGACAGGGGTCAGTTGCCCCTCTTCTTTAGTTACCTCCAGGAGCCAATATTCTTCAATGACAAGTTCATTGGTCCCTGAAACTAGTCCCACTGGATTATAGCTCCTCAAGAAGAGATGTTTCACGCCACTGGCTTCCCAGGGTCTAGAATAATGCCCGGCAGAGAGTGATTCAATAAGCACACACCAAAAGAAAAGTACATACGCTGTGCACAAGCCTGTGTTTTGCATCTGTAATCCTAACTGCTCAGGAGGCTGAGAACTAGAGAATCATGGTTTATAGTCAACTCAGTTAAAAAAAAAAGTCTGCAAGATTCCATCTTGAATTAGCCATCAAGAGGCAAAAGGCTGGGCTGAAGGTTTGTCTCAAGTGATAAAAACATTCAAGAGTGTGAGAAATGGAAAAACCCATTTCCAAGCCAGAGAAACCAAGTAGGAG